CAGGCAGGCGGTCAGTCAGAGAGACAGGCAGGCAGGCGGTCAGTCAGAGAGACAGGCAGGCAGGCGGTCAGTCAGAGAGACAGGCAGGCAGGCGGTCAGAGAGACAGGCAGGCAGGCGGTCAGAGAGACAGGCAGGCAGGCGGTCAGAGAGACAGGCAGGCAGGCGGTCAGAGAGACAGGCAGGCGGTCAGAGAGACAGGCAGTACAACAAAGACGCTGACACACAGCGGACAATCGCTCCCTTTAAATGACCGTTAGCCAACAGCAGCCATCGTTACGTGTTAGCCAACTACCCGGATGTAACAGCACTAAACACAATGTCGGTTTAACTGTAACATACACAGCCCGGTGTTAACGGGGATAAAACGGTCGGTAATCCCGTCACCGTTGGTGAGCTATCACTAACGTGTTTATGCTCCGGTTCTGTGTTAGCTCGATGCTAACGACAGTTAGCGTTAGCTCATCGGCCTAACTGGAGGTTAGCTTCGCTGTTAGCATGTTTCTCATTTAACTTAAAGCACAACGAGACAAACCGCTGCTGGACCTCAACAGGTACACACATAACAAACACACTCACGTGTGTAAACCAGGTGAGAACTCCACCTGTAAGACTCACCGTGTGTCGGTCTGTTAGCGGCTGGAGCTGCTGATTCAAACTGAAACTCGCTCCCGCCCCCCTCGTTTAAACCGGCGCTTCCTCACAGTCGGAGCCAATCGGCGCCCGACATTCATAAACAAACTGCCTCCTGCCAACCAATGAGAAGAGCGCAGACGGAGGGAGCAGCGATGTGATTGGTCGAGAGAAACGTCCGGAAATACGTTTAACGAACACGTCACAGATTTGAGACGAACGATCCAAAAACAAACTTTTAGTGTTTATTTTGTTTATGATATAATCTATATCTATAATATATATGTATACTATAATATATATATACATTATATTACATGTATCTAGCTGATACTTTCATCAAAAGTCACTTACAATAAAGTTTATAATAATAACAACAACAACAACAACAACAACAACAACAATATTAATAATAATAATAACGATGACAATAATAATTATACAAGAATAAAGTATCATGTATTAAACCGCAACGGCATGCAGTTTGTAGTCTCATATTGTTACATAAGAAAAGCGCACAAAAATAAAAACTATATTAACCTATATGATGGAGGATGGATTTCATGCTCACCATGATCAATACTTATTTTCTATTTTAGTTTCCATCGGGCACTTGTGTTAGAAAAACTTCTTATACACTTTATTTTTTACTCTTGTACTTAATTTTGCTGTTGTATTTTACTTTTTCTATTTTAGTTGATTTTTTACTTTTTTGATATTCTTTTGTCTTAATATTTAATGAAACTCTGGAACAAGAATTTCTTTCGAGATTAATAAAGTTTTATTTTATTTTAATTTATTTTATTTAGGTGGTGGGGCAGGTCCTGTACCTCTTGCCAGATGGCATCCTGGTGAACAGATTGTGGTGGGTATTGTCTTTTAATACTATTTGGGCTCTTATTAACAATAATATTAATATGCTGACCTGCCTCAAGTGCTGCATCAGAGACGAGAAAGAATACTGGACTAAAACTACAATCCAGGTGTGTTTTGAACACATAGGTAGGTCGATCTAATGCAAGAAGAAGCAATATATCAGTTTAGTTATCGTATTAGAGAGGGTATCCTTAGTCCACACTCCAGATTAGATGGTGGCGGTAATGCACCCGAAAGCTGTTTGCCAACCGCCATAAAAAGTAAAAGAAGAAGAAGCCGGAAGTTGTCTTATTTTGAAGAAAGCAAGTTTCCGGATGTTCTCGGTAGGTTGCTAGCGCTCAGATTTAGAAGATGAACGCGCCTCCCGCCTTCGAGTCGTTCCTCCTGTTCGAAGGAGAGAAGAAGATCAGCATCAGCAAGGACACCAAAGTGCCGAACGCCTGTTTGTTCACTTTGAACAAAGAGGACCACACGCTAGGAAACATCATCCGAGCGTAAGAGGCTAGCTGTAGGCTAATGCTAACAGGCTAACAACACTAGCTGAGGCTATTTGATAATAACTCATTAAATGTCTCTCTGTCTGTAGAAATCTGTATTAAGAGTAGAATATTAGCAGGTACCATCACTGTGTATTTAAAGTATTTAGTAGTATATTTTATTAGGGTACACTAAGCTAGAGAGGTGTTTTCTGTTATTTAGTGCAGCCATGTTGATATAAACATGATGGACAGAATAATAGAAATATCGTTGTGATTGTACAGCTGAATATACAAAAACACTAGAACCTTTAAGATGTATCACAGGACCACTGGATCAGATTGGGGTTTCCTATTAAAACAGTGCTAACAGAATGCTAACGGGTATAACATGGCTTCTGATGCAGGCTGCATGCTCAATGCAGCAGCTTTTATTGTGAAAGGATCAGTCTGAGACGTCAAAGGACTAATTCACCGATATCAGGCCGATATTGACTCAAAAAGATGGATCGGTGTCAATGAAGCCCATTTATTCAAATTCAATTCTATGTTTATAACGCTACTTATACATATAGCTTATTAATTAAACACACAAATTTGCCAACAACCAAAGTCCACATTTGTTTTTCAAAACAGCTGCCTTTTAACCTTCATGAGAAACACTTCAGGTCCTGACTGTGTGTGTGTGTGTGTGTGTGTGTGTGTGTGTGTCAGTCAGCTGTTAAAGGATCCACAGGTTCTGTTTGCTGGTTATAAAGTTCCTCATCCTCTGGAACACAAGATCGTCATCAGAGTGCAGACCACACCTGACTACAGTCCACAGGTAACACACACACCTCTGATGACAGTCCACAGGTAACACACACACACATGACTACAGTCCACAGGTAACACACACACATGACTACAGTCCACAGGTAACACACACCTGACTACAGTCCACAGGTAACACACACACACACACCTGACTACAGTCCACAGGTAACACACACACCTGAGATGAGTCATCGGAGTGTCCAGCAGCTCATCATGTCTTTTATTTTGACAGGAAGCGTTTACAAACGCCATCACAGATCTCATCAGCGAGCTCTCTCTGCTGGAGGAACGCTTCAGAGTCTCCATCAAGGACAAACAGGAAGGGATCGAGTGATGCCCCGCCCCCTGATTATGATGTCACTTCCTTGTTTGATTATTGGTTTATTTTTGTAAATAAAATGATGTGATGTCACAACCTGCAGGGTTTGTTTTTATTATGTTTTTTAATTAAAAAAAAAAAACAGCATTAACAATAACAACTTTTGATCACTGTGTGTGTGTGTGGAGGGTCGTGTGGGGGGGTCAGGGGTCAGCGTCTCTCTGACCCTCCATGGCTCTTTGCATCTTCTCCACCATCCACAGAGGAACTGAGAACGGCTTCAACTCGTCCATCTTGACGTCTGGACAGTCCCTGCACACACACACACACACAGCTGTTACCACGGTAACCACATATGTGGAACCGGTTACCCTGGAGACAGAAGAGTGATGTCAGACTCACTTGTACTCATCACTGCAAGACAGATCCTGGATGTCCTCCTCAATCAGCAGGTAGGCCTGAACACACACACACACATGTGATGCGTTCAGGTGCAGCAGTGCTCTGTAGGAGAGTTCAGTGTCTTAATGTTTGTATTAATCTCACCATCTTCCCTCCTGTCGCTCTCATGTGATGTCTCTCTGCCAGCCACTGCTTATCCTTCGCATCTGCTGCATACTGAAACACAAATGTCATTTAAAGGTGTAACACACACACACTAGACGTCACATTCATACACACTAGACGTCACATTCACACACACAGGTTTACCTTAAACAGATCAGAGTGTTTGATGTAGATCCGGCCTCTGGTTCCGCCCATCCCCAGCGCCCTGCAATGACATCACAACAACACATGATGACTTCCTGTTCAACTGTTCCTGGATGGAGCCAACATGACCTGACTGACATGATGATGACATGTTTGCACGTGGTTTACATAATGATGACAATGTTAACATACATGTTAACAGAATGTTTACACGTTGTTGACATGATGTTGACTCACTTGTTGGCTCTGGAGCCGAGAACAAACGTGCTGCTTTCATTCAGTCTGGATGGATCCCACTGAAACACACACGCATTATTCAGCAGGTCACTACTTAACTGATGAATGAGTGAATTGATGGTTAGTTAGATGAACTGTAACCGGTGTGAACAGGAGTGTATTTCTAAAGCTGGAGAGCATAAGTTGAATATCTTGTTAAACCTGATTTGTGGAAACAGGCCTCGGGTATAAAACACACCTGAGTTTCATGTGTGAGTGAACTGACTCCTAACTGACTCACCTTCGGTCCTTCTCTCTTGATTGGATCAGACTTGAGCTTCACTCTGAGGACGGGACATTCACAAAGGGGGAGAGACGTCAGATGTACAGGTGATCTACCTGGATACTGATGATGATGATGTCATTGGTCTGTCAGATACTCACTGAGTGGAGAAGGTGTGAGGTCGATCGGAGGCCGCCACCGCACCTGGACGAGCTCTTCTCTGTAGACACACGATGATCACAACTTAAATATAAACTATATGTTAGTAGTTTTAATTATATATTATAAGCTGCTTAGAGCTACTGACAGTCACGTTGTTCAAAAGCTTTCTGTTATGTAATCTTTAATAAATCCCTTATTTTACTTTAAGTGAGAGAACATGTATTTATTATTAGAGTATGTATTATTTATAATTCATCCAGTTAAATTTTAAATCTGATAATAAATATAAATATGTGATAACAACTGTAGGCTAATTCAATATATAAAGGAGTAAATCATAGTGCCAGTTAGATGTTATTGTGATGTTCTGGACCTTTAATGAGGGAATGAACTCTAACTGGACCTCGTTGAATATTAACTGAAAACCCCTGACATAGTCTGTGTATAAGAAGTGGACATAGTCATCGTGACATCACTCGTTGGTTTGTAGACTGATGTTTTGAAGCCTCGAGTTCGGCAATTTTCGCCGTCGCCATCTTGGATTGCGGCCGTTTCTGTAAGTTATTGATAACTTGCTTTGAACGCTGCTTAGTCTCATTCTGACCCGTGATATTCAGTACTGGTCTGAATGGTGCAGCGACATCTCCTTGTCACCTGACTGAACGAGCAAACACCTGAAAGGTCAGAGGTGACCGTACCTTCTTGGGGACGGGGCTTCCTCTCTGACTGTAGTCTTCATCAGCAGCAGGTCTGGACCTCTGACGGGACACAAAGAGCCAGATCAGAACTGGACCCGGTTTAAAAACATGCTCCGGAGGTTCTCATTGGTCGGCCTCCTACCTTGATGGCGGCCTCTGACCGCCCCCGATTCACCTCCGCCTCTGGAAACAGCTGTTTGGCCTGGGGATGACATCATCAGAGAGAAACCATGGTTACCGCACAGAGAATACGGACACCTGGGGTCAGAGGTCAGCTGACAGGAAGTGATCTCACATGTTCCAGAACGTTCCTGCAGGCCTCTCTGATCAGCTGGTCGGTCTGAACATCGTCACCAACGTTCTCCTTCACATTCTCCGCCGCTTTCTCAAAGAACTGGAACAAACACAACAATATGAGAACATCACCGACACATCTGTTCCCACCTTCTCACACCTGGTTACAAACCAGGTTGTTTTTTTTCCGGGAGTTTCCCATGTGATTTTGTGATATTGGGCGATACAAATGAATTGAATTGACCTCTGACCTTCTGGTACTTCCTGAACACAGCCATGATGTCCTCGTTGAAGCTTGGCTGAAGCACAGCCCTCAACAGGTCCATGGACACCTGAGGATCAGTGTAGCTACACACACACACACACTTTACTTTTACTGCCTTTGTTTACTGTACTCTGAATCAGTTCTGATGTTGTTTAAATTGGCCATCAGGGTGGAAAAGCAGGACCAGCAGGACCAGTATAAACCAGTGAACCAGTACTGACCTGACTGCCATGTGTGAGCGTCGTCCTCGTCTGTGTATCTGTCTGTGTTTGATCATCAAGTTCCACGGCTTCTACAGAGTATAGATTAATTTATCAATAAAAAACAACTAATTAATGACATGAACTTCACATCAGAGAATCATTCTATGAAGTAAAACATGACGTCTAAGTTTATTTATTTTATAAAATTACAATAAATATTTTTATCAATTGATAAATAATTGTATTTTTTTACTAAAAACAACATTTACAGACTAATCAATAATGATGTGAAGCCATGACGTCATCTGAGAGACACTGACGTATTTGGAAGCACACAGCTCACGAGACATACTGTAACTAATATAATACAACTATAAAATATAGTTAATATCACATCACGTCATTTGAATAATATAATGCAATACTTTAAACTAATGTATTGAGTTCAGGTTCAGACTAGCAGCTAGCTTCGCATGTTAGCCTCCGTTAGCTGTGGTTCGTACCGGGCTCTGGTCGGTCTGCTCAGGTCCGTCCTGCACCAGCCAGTCCCGGCCTCCCTCACTGCGGTGGGCTCCCATGGTCCGGTCCGGTTCTAAACGAGCTAACTCTACAAGGCTAGGCTAACAGCAGCTAAAGCTAACAGCGGTAGATGTTTGATCTCTGGACCGGATGTTACAAAGTCCCCGGATGTTATCGTAAATTCACGCGCTGACAGACACCGAGAGACTGAGAGATGTTTACCGATAAACTTTTAATCGATAATCGACACACACTTATTGTGCCACTGTGTTTCTTCCGCTTGTGTGAAGCTAACAGTAATGTCAACCACTTTCCGGTCATTACTTCAGAATAATAGCGCAATTTACACGAATCCAAAGACACATTTTAATAAACGTGTTTTATTATTAATATTTATTATTGTTTTCAGGAGCTTGGCTAACAGATACTTCCAGCTATTGATATGTGGATGTAATAATATTAATTTAGAAGTTTCTTTGAAATAATGTCTTTTACACGAAAACTGTCATGAAGTGATTTTAAAAAATATATATAATATAGTATAAATAATTGATATAAATAATTAATATAAATATATATTATACATATATTTTATTTATAAATATAAAATAAATGTATTATATATATATATAGATATTAATAAAAAAGTTGAATTAATCTGTGGAGTTATGCAAATTATGGGATGCATAAATAATAAATACAAAACCTAATAACTAGGAGATCTTTAACTTTAATAATAATATACAATTATTAGTTATGAGGAAAGAGATTCAGATCACAACTGTTTTGTCCAGTTTATCAGATAATCTATAGAATGTTTATTCATAATTACATTTATTCTGGACTTATTACAGATCTCAGATATGAGAAAATAGTCTTAAAAATTGAAGATAAGGAAGTTATTATGAAAAAAACAATGAAGTAGTTTTTCTCAAATTCAATTATTTCTGGTATTCTTTTCAATGAAAGAGGAGATAACCTCCATAAACAGTTTAATATATTTCTAATAAGTCTTAATTATTACACCAGTGTTAATTATCTGACCCAGTTATTTGTAAAGTGTATTTGTTACTTCACCTTTGACCTTTCATGAGTGGACACTTCCCATGTGTCCTGTGGTGTCAGGACAACACGTGTCACAACATCACATGATCAGAGCGTGAGAAAGACGAGCTGGACAGGTGTGTTACTGGGTTGGATATGTTTTTTACTGGGAGAGTGAAGCTGCACTTTGTTTGCAGGCAGGAATAAAAGGACAGACCGTATTTACATTCTCCAGCTGTAAGGACTACAAACATGGCTGCGTTTTCGCAGCTGTGCAGCATCGCCGCGTGACATCACACTGACGGTCATTTCATGTTTAAACCAGACTTCAGTGGTTTCAAGCAAGACTATAAAGAAACATCGTATTCAGCAAAGACAAAACTGTGGGAGTCTTCTTGTAGTTATGACTTCTGTTTGATAAGCTTATAATCATGAGGAAGTATCTCTGAATTAAAGCTTGAAATAACTTATAATAATTACACTAAAACATTGTGTAACTTTGACCAGTTTAAGTTATAACAACATCTGTATCTCATAATTAAGAGAAAGTTCTCGTAATTATAATTCATTTTATCTCACACTTAGGAGACTTTTATTTTGTAATTATGAGATACAGATGTCACAAATACAAGAAATCTGTCATGAAATCTTTTCTCTAAATTAAGAAATAAAGTTCAATCAATTATGTGATGAATATTAATTGCGTAGCTACACGACCTTTATCTAATAAATACGAGATCTTTACGTTGTAATTATTAGACACGGATCTCAAGTACAAGACAAATGTTTTGGGATAAAAATCTCGAATCGCAACTGTTATCTTGTGATTAAAGTTCATCGTAATTACAAGAATTATATTTAGTAATTATTTTATAGAAATCGTAAAAATTTGTTTTCTTGAAATTATGAAATGCAGAAGTCATTAAGACCAGAAAACTAATTAAATTGATTGTAACTACGAGAATCCAAATCACGAGAGAACAATGTGTCTTAATTACAATAAAACATTTCCTATTTCCACCAAAAAGGGTTTTCTGGCTTTCCAAAAAATATTAAAGGGACAGTCCAACATTAGCCTAGCTTAGCACAAAGACTGGAAACGGGGAAACTGTTAGCTTGGCACCATAAAAAACAAAAACAAATCCACCTTCCAACAACTCAAACACAAAATACCAAAATGTTGGACTGTTCCTTTAAAAGAAAACTTTAAACAACTAAAACTAGAAAGTTGAAGAAACATCTCGTGAAGCGGCGACGCCATGCAGCCCAAAAGCTCTGCCTGAAAAACACATTCAGGATTTACGAACATCATTTGGAGTCCAAAAGGTTTCATGCACAACAAAAAAACCCAAATAACAAAAAAAAAAAAAAACAAGTTACTGAAAAGAGAACAGCTGAGAATTATAAAAATAATGTGGAGTATCCTGCTGGTTAGACTTCAGCATTACTGATGCATACACACGTCTACTTTGACATACAAGATATAGATTTTCTTAATAACACTTTGGTTTAGTTTAAAACAAACTATCATAAGCTGTATAATACAGATCTCCATATCTTCTTTTTTATGTTAAATTAAATCCAAAAAAAAAAAAAAATACAATTAAATTTTGTTTTGTTTTTTAAATCAATTCAAACAGCAGATGAGGAAAAATAACATCAACAGACTTCATATCAGTTTATAACTGTACAGTATCTACATAGCCGGAGACAGACGCCCCCTGATAGGACGATTCAGCCAATCAGCCAACAGACTGGATGTGTAAGAAGAACTGGATACGGCACCATTGTTGCCCGAGTAGCCACTTGGCAGTACTGCAGCCCCCCAAAAAAGCTATTTTTCCCCATAGAGTCTATGGGAAGAAGAAAAAGGCCATAGACCATCATCTTAAAAATCTCAAACTTGGAACTCCATCAACATCATTTGATCCATTAAGGATTGAATTTATAAAACTTCTCAAGCCGAGAAAGGCGATTTAAAAAATGTGTGACGTCATCACTATGTGAAGTATGTGGGCGGATCTGGGATTTGGGGGCGGAGCCAGAGGTGCATATTCAGCCGACCGCAAATCACGGAAGCTAGGAACTAAAAATGCGGCGTCTTGGTGTCCAATGTCCAGTTCTTGTTAAACATCCATGGTGTCGAGTTACGAAGTGTGAGGAGTCGCTGGTTCTTCGAGTATTCTTCATTATTATTATTAAATGCTTTCTTTTGAAGATCCGTTCCTAAACATGTTAATGTTCACTAAAATCAAACCAGGTAGCAAGTTCATGTTGTGCAAAATTCAGAGTATTAAAGTTAAAACAAATATATTTTGACAAAAAAAGTCCAAAAAAAAATAATAAAGTATTTTTTCAAGAAAAATGTTGAGGGAAAAAGAAGACATTTCCAGAAAAGGTTAGAATATATTTTTTTAGAAAGTTGACAAGAAAAATATTTTGAGGGTGAATAAGAGGAGAAAAATTGCTGCTTTATGTGGTAAACAGGGTTCCGTCTATGAAAACACAACAAGGAACCCTGAATTAACTTCTCACACTTCACAACTCACCTGGTGACAAACACACCTGGTCCAACACCTGTCACATGACACCACAGGAAGTCTGATGAGACCTCTGAGGAGTTGTCTGTCATCGTCGACCAGTTCCTAGTCCCAGTTCTGACTCCGCCTCCTTCCACAAGTAAATATGAACTCACTGCGAATGCTCCGCCGACTCCTGCCCGATGAGTTTCCCCCACAATGCACCACAAACTTGGGAGGGTTCATCCTCTGAAGGATGCGCACCGAGTACGGAGGAGGCGGGGCCTGAAGAGTCTTTCCAACTCAATGAGGAAAGACGAGTCCAATAGAAACCATAGCTGCCTTGTCAACCAATCACCAAGCCCTGTCGGTGTGGGGGACCAATCAGAAGTCTTCCAGTGACGTCACAGTTGACGTCACAGGTGAATGAAAAAAGTTTTTTTTTTTTTTATTTTTTTTTTATTGCTGGAGCTTAACTACATCTTCTAACTGGCTGTGAATGAAAAAGCTCCAGAAGCTCTGACGTCAGAGCTTCGACCAATCAGAAGAGCTGATGTGTGAGGGGAGACGGTGAAAGCCGACAGAAAGGATCAACTCTGGTCCAGAACCGCATTGTGGGTAAGTGGACAGATGCTACAGGTGTTGGTGAGGGACAATCTGAAGAGACGAGACGACGATCAAAAAACAGAGAAACTTTACACAGGCGAGGGGGCGTGGTCACACTATAAGCCCCACCCCCATTACACGGCAGCCATCTTTTCTTGAGGACTTGTGCTGCTGCTACTGCTGCTGCTACTACTAGTACTACTGCTGTTGTTGTTGTTTGTGGTGGTGGTGTTGTTGTTTGTGTTGCTGCTGTTGGTGGTGATGGTGGTGGTGGTTGTTGTGTTGTTGTTGTTGTTATCGTCAGGACCACCAGGGGACATCACCCCACTCTGCGTCCTATCAGCGGCCTTGGGGGCGGAGTCTTTGTCTCCGGGGGTAATGGGGGCGGGACCAGGAGAGGCCAGGGTGGCGGGGCGAGAGGGGGAGGGGCGGTACGCTGCCATCAGCTCGGCGAGACGCTCCGGAGTCGGCGCCCACTTCGCAAAACCGGCGTCATTCTGAAGGAAGAGTACCGCAGTACCGTGTACCGCCCGGTAGTACATCTCATCTCTGGAAATACACACAGATACACAAGAGTTCAGATGTAGTAAAATCTACTCCCTGCATGGACATACATGAGAGAAAAATACAGAGCAGTAGAGTGCAGTATTAGTACCTCTTAAAGATATGTTGGCGCCGAGGCCCTGCTGTGTTTCACGTTTGTATGTTTTTATGGTGGTGGATAATTTAGTTTTTTAATCCACACAACAATAGATTTATTTTAGGGTTCCAGACTGATCTACAACTCATCAGTGCGTGTCTCCTTTTGTGTACAAGCAAACTGTTTTTATTAAACACAAACACCATAAAATAAAAGATTGAATATTTCGTTAGATAGAAACATGTTGTGAATCTGTTAAATCTGAAATCTGCCAGCTATCTATCTCCCGATCAAAACCCATGTTCATACATGTGGTACAGTGCAGTAACAGTACCTCTTGCAGATGTGTTGACTCCCAGAGCGATACTCGTGTTCGAAGGCCGTGATGTTCAGCTGGTGACGGAGGAATCGACTTGCTTCCATGCGGGTCAGAGCCGGGGTCACGGGGTCACGCCACTCGGGGACGAAGACGATGAAGGACAGCGGCTCAGAGGACTTGTCCAAAAGCTCCTGGTAGACAGAGACAGACCATAATATGTTTGACCGTCATCTACAAGACCAGTGTAGACACCAGCACAGCCTGGTTTAGACCCAAACAAACCAGTTTAGACCCACGCAGTAGGGCTGGGCGGTATACCGGTTCAACCGGTATACCGGTTGAACCGGTATACGATATGAATTTTTCATATACCGTCATACCGGCGCACAGCTGAAACAACTTCTGTCACTCTTCGACAGGCAGCAAAATATATTCTTCGCCACTGGAAGCACTGTGGTCGGAGCTAGTTGTCTTAGCTGTATTGAGAGGGAACCCTAGTCATGGTCATAACAACAATTAACAACCCACAACTAACGCTCTTTAACAGGGCAAAACACCACGACACAACAGTTTGTGACAGATAAACAATTTGTAGCACTAATAATTGTACATTTATAAAATTTCACTGCCGAACTGCATGCTGGGTACTTGTTATAAATGTACGTTGGTACATAGACGGTGATAAGAAGCTGTACATGGAGGGGCTTCTTCTTTAAATTCCATTGGCGAATCGCAACCAACTTGCATAGGTGCATACCGCCACCTACTGTACCGGAGTGTGCATTTATAAAGAAATAAACCTAAACAACACCTACTAACAACTAAATCCTACGGTCTAATCCCGTTTCTTTCCATGGAGGGGCTTAGGTGAAGGAAACAGGAAGTGACGGAACGGAAGACACGCCACACAAACAGCTGTTCACCGCTCGCTGGCCGGCCATTTCTTTTCGGCGTTAATTAATTAATGATTTAACGTGGGAAAAAAAATACCGTGATATACCATGAAACCGCCAGAATCTTACAAAATACCGTGATATGCATTTTTGGAGCCTTACCGTGCAGCCCGGTTTAAGACCCCGCACAGCCCGTTTTAAGACCCCACACAGCCCGGTTTAAGACCCCGCACAGCCCGGTTTAAGACCCCATTGAGCCCAGTTTAAGTCCACGTACAGCATAGTTGAAGACCCTGCTGAGCCCAATTTAACCATTCAAACCGGGACGGACCAGTACGGTAAAACTAGTATATAAAATATTGGACGGACCTCAAAGTGTGTCACCATGATTTCCATCAGCTCTTCACAGAACGGAGGGTTGGCTTCAAACGAGCCGCTGACTGGACGGAAAGACAGGAATGGCCTGAGAACACACGCACGCACGCACGCACACACACACGCACGCACGCACACACACACACACGCACACACGCACACACACACACACGCACACACACACACACACAGGGTTAATAATTCTGTAATACTACTATAAAGTTTTGAAAAAGGAGGCTGTGCTTTAACAATGGGATTCACGATAGAGTACTAAACCCAAAGTCCAACGAGCATACTCCAGAGATGGAGTAGAACCTCTCAGGTACAGACAGACAGAGTTTAGAGGTGTTAACACCCGTCTCACCCTCTGGATCCGAAGAAGCCGTCGATGTCGGGGAAGGCGGAGCCAAACTGTTTGAAGTAGCAGTTGAGCGGCGAAGCGAAACACTCGAAGGAAACTCCAAACTGTCGAATCAACGCCTCGAACACCGGCACCGGCAGAGCCCCCTGCAGACCCGTCCCCTCGTTAGCGCCGCTGCCAAACATCACCTGGACAAACACACACAACTCATTAACTCACCAATTACCAGAGTCGTTACCAAACACATACCCCAATTGGTTAACAGAGAGTCAGCTGACCTGGTATCTCTTGAGGAGGCACCAGACTCTGGACAGGAACTTCTCAAAGCGAGGATCGTCTATACAGCTGTACCTGTACAACAACTCCTGGAGACACAGACAGACAGTCAGAGAATATGACAGACAGACAGACAACATCAACACAAACTTCAACAGTCTCTCACAGAACACCCACATTAAGCAAGCGTATATATATTATTGTTTATTTTATGAATCGTTATCTTGTTCTTTCTCTGCATAATCACATTGGTATTTGACACTTTGACAATATTGACCTTGTTACATTCATGCCAATGAAGCACATTGAATTGAATGAGTCAGACAGAAAGACGGACAAACACACAGAAGTACGCCGAGACAAATTTACGTTTCACTAAAACAATGTCACCTTCTGCTGGTGGACTTTAGCTGCTGAAAGTGCAATGGAACTAGCTTAACTTCTTGAATACTGAGCAAAAATATCTCCCGTTTTATATTTGATGACTAAGTTAAAGTTAAATTAAGTTAAAGTCATAAACACATCCTGAACACTTCCTCCATGTTTACCTGCTTGCGTCTGCACTACTTGATCCTTTTCTTAAAATTGCTTTTAAGCTTCTGTCAATCAAACTCAAGACTTCCTGTAGAAGTTTCCCCGTTAAAGTTTTAAGTTAAGTTAAATCGGCACTGACCAGTTTGCTGAAGTGTCCTCTGTTGACTTTGACCATCTCTCCTCTGAAGCGTAGACAGGCCACGTCGTTCTCAAAGTGCAGCTCGACTCGGGGGAGGGGCGGCGAAGGCAGCGCCAGACGCACCGGGTAACAGTAGACCAACCGGGACTGCTGGGGGGACACACTGGCCTCTGAACAAACACACAAACAACAACACATTATAAATGATCTCCGTCCAGATGAGCATTTTAGCGAAATAATCTCGGTGCATACTACCACCTCTAAAAAAAAAAAAAGCATATCACATGACTATTCATGTACACTGGGTACGCTAAAATAGCTTACCTCCTGCGAATGTGTGGCAGTAGCAGCATTATAAAATGCAAAATAAACCGCACAATAGCTGCCAACGTAAACAACAAGTGTTTTAATGCGGAAAAAGGGGCGGGACGAATCAGGGAATTACACGTCATGACTGATGAGACCCAATCAAGACGCGAACTTATGCGTTTCAAAACGTAGTGGTGTGGTTGTAGCCTCAGGTGTGTGTGTCTGTGTACCAGTGGGGGGGTCCTGCAGAAGACTGAGATGCGTCTGTCTCATCCGGCGGCTGTACTCTGCAGACAACTGGTAGATCTTGGAGCAGATTCCCTCCACAGAGTCTTTGGCGACAGCGGTGAGGTGAGGACCACACTGTTGCCTCAGGTGCTCCAGACGGTCCTACACGCACACACACACACGCAGAAACTACATTACATCCTGGCACAGTGAACTTGTCTTTATGGTGTATTCGACTCTAAATGGACCATAATTTACTAAATGAACATCATGCTGTATTGAAGAAGACTTGAAACTAGAGATTGAGACCATAAACTCATATTTACAATGTTTACTGAGGTAATAAATCAAGAGAGAAGTAGAGTCATTTTCTCATAGACTTCTATACAACCAGAGGAGTCGCCCCCTGGTGGACATTAGAGAGAATGCAAGTTTTAAGACACTTCCGCATCGGCGTTACTCGGCAGAACCGGAAGATTGCCGCCTGTTTGGAGCCAGGTAAGTTCGTCATGAAAACAGCCTGAGACGACACGTCTTGAGAAGAAGAATACAGTATGAATCAGGGTCAAAGGTTACCATGTAGTCCTCTTTGCTGGCGGAGTGATCTCGGCGAAGCCAGCTCATGGTGTCTTCAGCGTTCCACTTCACCACCTTCCTGCTCTCTGGACTCGCATTCCTGCACAGATCAAAAGGTTAATATAGCAGCAAACAATTATTAGCTATGTAAAGATATATTGGTGTTGATTGCTTGATGTGTTGTTGGGTGCTAAAATGGATATTGCATACATTTGAGAAAATAAATTGTGATTGATGGCTCTAGCGAGCTACAATATCAGCTAAGCCTCTCAGAGATGGAGAAACGATGTTGCTAACAGTTTAGCTTAGCCTTCTGCTAACCTACTGAGCTATCACGGCTGCTGCACCACTAAATTAGCACGCTAACTAGCCGCGGTCTGGCTACTTAGCTAACTTGCTAATTACAACATGCGTTCATGCTACACTGGTTACAGAATATGAGCCCAACATTGGGGCTGATGTGTAACGGTCCCGCTGCCTCACTCCTCACCCGCTATGAGGTTACTTCGCTGGGAGGAGGGCAGACGGGAGCTCCGGAGTCTAGCTAGCTATCTAGCCAGCTCAGGAGATGGACTAGCTAGCTAGCTAACTAGCCCGCTCCAGAGATGGACTAGCTAGCTAGCTAACTAGCCCGCTCCAGAGATGGACAAGCAAGTTAGCTAACTAGCCCGCTCTGGAAATGGACAAGCTCGCTAGCTAACTAGCCAGCTCTGGAGATGGACAAGCTCGCTAGCTAACTAGCCAGCTCTGGAGATGGACAAGCTCGCTAGCTAACTAGCCAGCTCTGGAAATGGACAAGCTCGCTAGCTAACTAGCCAGCTCTAGAGATGGACAAGCTAGCTAGCTAACAAGCCAGCTCTAGAGATGGACAAGCTCTCTGGGGCTCTAGTCTGGTCAACAAAACTTGCTACCCAGCGTTAAGTAACGTGTTCATAGAATTATTCTGCCTCCACCAGCACTACGCCCACAAAAATAAGTCATCATGTCTCGTAACAGAAAAGGGGTCGATAGAGCTCCTTTTAAAAAAGGTCAAAGGTTAGTTCATCATCAGGATAAAGCTCTGATTGGTCCGCTGTTAACCTACCTAGAGTCAATCATCTTCTTGGCAGCTTCAGCGTATTTAAACAGCAGCTTCCGGGCCTCCTCTTTGTACTTGATACGTGCCAACCTTTAGACACAAACGCACAAATAACAACACATCGTCACTATGAAAATAAATCATAACAGGTAAGATGAAACATTGACATAACAGAAGGTTTGAAGTAACTGACTGACAGACAGATAGGTACCTGATGGGAATGTCGTTCATGATCTCTCTGAACATGGATGGGGAGATGACGGGGTCGCAGTCACTCGGCAGTAAGGGGTCGTGGCCTTTGTCGATCACTTTCCTCTCCAGCAGCCAACGGTTGAACGACTCCCGGGGCGGATCAATACCTGAACCACAGACAGACTTACAACTTGTTCATGGACTTTCAGAAGGTAACAACAAACAGCAGCTTTCTAAAAGTTTATTTTTTCCTCTGTTTTAGTCATGCGACATTCATTTCTTCATATTTATTTGGGACGGTGGTCCTCTGAATATTTTAGAGAGAGCGAGAGAGGATTCAATTGATTTTGTGTAACCTAAAATCACAAATTTGCCTCAGAGGGCTTTACAATCTGTACACATGTGACATCCTCTGTAGCCTCTAATGTCCACTGGCACCACCAAACCTCCATTCTTCCACCATCTATTTTTTTGTTTGTGCAGCAGTTCATAGCGGAAGTGTACCGCCTCCCGTTTTAAAAAAAAACATCAAACTGTTGTTGGATGAGTTCTGGATTGACCTCCAGAGACCCAACGTACCTTCTCTCTGGTGACACAGCTCGTGGTAGTGTTGCCGAAGTTTGGTGACCAGCTGAGCTCTCAGCAGCTCCATCTCAGGGTGGGGGGGCAGCAGGTGGTTGGCGGGGGGGTGCTCTCTGATCACCGCGTTGGTCTGGGCGTCCAGATCCCAGTAAATACTAAAAACAACAATAAACAACTTTAACAACAAAGATTAAATCTAATAATTATCACAATATATATTGAATAATTATGAAGAACGAGGAAGATTTTGTCGTGAACATTTTTCTTGGATTGTTTTGTCAGCCAGCCCGAAAATGCTATTAACAGAGAAGCTAAGGACGCTGACAGGGAGAGGCGTGGCCTCAGCACTCACACAGCTGGCCTGTATACAGCAGGGGCGGGGCTTGGCGTTGTGGGTGTGGCTGGTTGGGCCGGTTTGTCCTCAGGGGTGGAGTTCCAGGGTTTGACCCCGGGGGTGCTGGGAGAGATGGGGGTGGTGGGCTCCATCTGGAAGCAACATAATATGATGTTAAATAAATTAGATAATATTTTATTTGATCTCAGTTTCCCCACAATCCACTGCACACCGGTCACTCGTTTAACTGTCATGAACCGATCCAAGAGCGTTTTTTTTCTTCTTACCTTGACTCTTTTGATGTTGTTAGGCGCCGCCCCCTGCTCCTCAGAGCTCCTCCTCTTCCTCTGACCATTACCTAGATTACTGTCTCCGCCCTCTGCAGGAGCCGCATTCAGACCTAAAGGATCAGACTGCAGACAGACAGACAGACAGACAGACAGACAGACAGACTCAGTTCTAAACTACAAACGAACTGTATACACTATGTACCATACAGTGAGAACAATAAAAAAAATATGTGTTCACATACTAAGATTCTAATGTTTGTTTACATTTTCAACAACTAACTTCCTGTTGTTGTTAAACGACTGCATGTGTTGTACCCCTGAAAAAGGGGGATAAATAATCACGAGAGTGATGTGATGTTTTTCCTCAGCAAAGACTTTACTGAAATCCTTGTACAAAAAATACAATCATTTACACAGGAAGAGATTTACAGGAGAGTAGAGAGTACATATGCTATTTATGTTCAACACTATTCAAAATATTACTTCAGATATTTCCCCTAGCACAAACTAGCTTACATTCAGTACTGTTAAAACTCTCAAAGTGCATAAAACATATTCTACAGATAAAACAAATAAAATATCACGACTAAATATTACCGTCTGTGTACATGTAAATTCACAAAATGGTGGCAGTAGACGCAGCTACTATTACACCGTCAACACGCAGGAACTCACGTAAGTTACACACACTACAGTACTCTCGGTAAAACTTAGTTCTAAAGTACCCAAAAATGTAACAACATTCTCTTAAAACGTATGACCATGTTAGCAGATTCATACCGACATGTTAACGCTGTTTAAAATCCACAACATACCTGAAAAAGGGGGATAAATAATCACGAGAGTGATCAAGAGTGTGATGTTTTTCCTCAGCAAAGACTTTACTGCAATGAGGAAAAAGATTGCGATTTCCCCAAGATATGTGGGTGGAGACCAAAGCAATCGATCTCAGACTCAAGATCAAGACCACTATGTAGATCAGTTTAACACTATGTACCTCAAACTACACAATTCAGAACAAAGCAAACGATGCAAGAAAACACAATCTTATTATTTCCCTTAATTTATAAAAGTGCATATTTTCCAACTTGTCACACATGCACCCGTCCTTTCACCTCACACATTAAAAAGGAAACAGTGACATTACTCACGATGACATCATGCTGACCCAGCACTGGGACCTCCCACAGGCTCTGATTGGTGAATCTGTTGAAATAATACGGTCGGTTCTCCCTCCGAGACCAGCACTTAGACCATCCAGCCTGGACCAGTTCATCTGTCAGACAGACAGGTCAGAGAGGGAGACATAAAGAGACAGGTCAGAGAGAAACACCAGCACTGAGAGCATCCAGCCTGGACCAGTTCATCTGTCAGACAGACAGGTCAGAGAGGGAGACATAAAGAGACAGGTCAGAGAGAAACACCAGCACTGAGACCATCCAGCCTGGACCAGTTCATCTGTCAGACAGACAGGTCAGAGAGGGAGACATAAAGAGACAGGTCAGAGAGAAACACCAGCACTTAGACCATCCAGCCTGGACCAGTTCATCTGTCAGACAGACAGGTCAGAGAGAGACAGGTAGAGAGACAGACAGGTGTACCTGGGAGCTCAGGTGGTTTGGAGGTGGTGGACGGAGAAAGGGGCGGTTCCTGAGAGGAGGCGGAGCCAGAGGGTGATGGCATGATGGCCGCCTCCCCTTTCACCGATCCCTGGCTGTCATTGGACATCTCAGCTGCTCGTCAGAATGACATCGACCTGCCTGGACAGGAAGACACACTTTAATATCTTTCAAAATAAAACAATGGTGATATCTTGGATTTATAATTTACGATACAAGAACTACAGAATGAGAAAACATATGGTTTCTTTTGTACATAAAGCCGTCACATGATCAAACATATCTGATACGGATCACCATCAATAATGATAAATATCGTTGGGTTCTGCTCCAGACACTCATGTGCAAAGGTTTCAGATTTTCTTCATTTGATTGAAGCCAATAATAAAGTCTTAAAACTTGCATTCTCTCTACTGTCCATCAGGGGGCGACTCCTCTGGTTGTGTAGAAGTCTATGAGAAAATGACTCTACTTCTCTCTTGATTTATTACCTCAGTAAACATTGTAAACATGAGTTTATGGTCTCAATCTCTAGTTTCAAGTCTTCTTCAATACAGCATGATGTTCATTTAGTAAATTATGGTTAATTTAGAGTCAAACAGACCATAAAGCAGGGTATGCTTTAGGACAGGGCTACACGGTGATTGACAGGTCTCTACCAGAGACGTATATGGCAGCTCTAAGTCACTCCTCGCATTTCAAAAACAACATGGCGACGGCCGTAATCCAAGATGGGGACGGTGTAATTGCCGAACTCGAGGCTTCGTAACATCAATCCACAAACCAATGAGTGATGTCACGATGACTACGTCCACGATGACTACGTCCACTTCTTATATACAGTCTGTGTGGTTTCAATTATAACACATCATGATAACATTATAATTTACCTTCAGCCAGTACCCATTTTCACTGAGCAGAGCCTGAAGGCATCATAATGTAACTGAAGTGAACCTTTAATCGTTAGCCGTTAACTAAGATTTAAAAAGGTGCAGACAAGAACAGTCTGGTTGTCCGGACCTGCAGCAGACATGAATTGTTAATAATCAATATCTTACACGCTCACAACACATATTATTCTCCATTTAACTCAACATGCTATAGTGATGCTTACATGTAAACTCACATACTTAGTTATTTAGCATGTTATTATTAATCAGGGATATTCAGGGATTAATTCGTCTTTTTCCCCTTTTTAAAAGTTATTAGAAGAAGTTTATTGTTGTAAAACTAGTTTTAATGAGAAACGTTACACTGATGGTGTGTGATGTTATAGAACTCTTCTTGGTATAATAGCAAACTTAAATCCGATGAAAAAGGTCTTCCAGTATTGATTGATTGATCCGAGGATTACCTGCTTTAATCGTAAACAGATTATCTTTTATTTTGAAAAACCGACGGGACATTTGTCTCCGTTTGTGACATTTTATATGTCGAAAGGTTTGTAGATTAACGAGATAAAACAGATGAATAGAAATAAATGAATACAGATAAATCCAAGGAAAATAATCAAATGAATCGAAAATAGCGACAGATTTGACGTGAGCACGCTGATCACGGACCGTCAGAATGTGGCGGCAAACGGACCGTTCAGTTTAAAATCAGATTTTTTAAATAATCAATATTTTAATCAAACACATTGTCTGTGTACATGGAGTAAAATGAAAGCGGCTGTGCGAATTCATTAAATAATCGCGATGTTTTCCTTCTCATACGCAGGAACGAGCGCTGTGGTGGTAACACGCATGCGCAGCCTGGGCAGGCTTTTCCAAACAAACACGGAGGAGGAGAAGAAGAGGAGGGGGGTGAAAAAGGAGAGGGGGTGTGAAGGAGGAGGACAACACAAAAGCTGCGGCTGAAGACACGGACACACCGGCTCTCAGTGTCGGTCCACAGCCGGTCCGAACCGGGCTAAAGTTACTTAAAAACACAGAGAGGCGAACGGGGACGTCTTTTTAAGTCCCGTCCCGCCATTAACGGCCATTTTGCGCTACCCGACCGGTCTCCGCTCAAAAGCGACAGCTGCTGTTTAAGGCGCCACTTCAGACAAGATGGCGGACACGCCCCTGCCACAGCGCTGCGCGTCCTGCACATCATTTCTGGTCTTTACTACAAACTCAGCCGCCCTGCGCGCGGGTAATACGGCTCATCTGAAGGCCGAAACCTTCCGCCGCGTGTCGGTCCCGTCGGAGCGGCTCCGCACGGCCGCCTGCCCTTACCTTGACTGGTTAAATTGCGGAGAGTCGCGGGTTCTGTCAGTTTGTTTCGGGTCCTCCGCTCCGCTCCCTCCCCGCCTGCTCAGACATCTTTACAGGGACCCGGAGTGAGCCACTGCGCAGGCGCAGCTGGTGTCCCGCTTCCTGTTACGATACGTCCTGCTCCCGCCGCCATCTTGAGCAGGTCACTTCTCCACGTAGCTTCTACGTTTGATAAAAAATACAAATGTTAATACATTATTTATTTGATGGAATAGTGTTAACGGTCTCATACTATAAAAAGCTTAATTGTCTTCTTTATTTATTACAAAACGGGTCTAAAAGCTTTATAAATAATGTGAAAGTATCAAAACACTTAATTCATAGAGAAATACACATATTTCAACTAACCGTGGCATTATTGGCATGAACATTTCAGAAAAAACTGTTTCCAAAGCATCAAAATAAAAAAAGTAAACAATAATATTAATAGGAATATTAACACAACATAAACATGACATTACAATTGTTGTGTAATGATATATTTACAGTATTACAATTACATTTCAACAAACTACCTCACGTGGCATGTTGACACATATTGGGCAGCAAGATAAAACTGAGTTGGATTTTTCAAAATAAGTGTTCCTTATTCTGTCAATTCATTATATCTTTTTAGAACCAGATAACATTATGATCTTCCAATGTATTAAATAGTCTTCTTTACATTGTGTTATAATTGTAGTTTTACTCTGATTGGTGTTTGGAGAGAAGTGTTGTTGCTGAAACCCAAAATACAAGAATGAACCTGGAAATGATGCTTTAAGAAAGTTTTCATAACATCAAATCAAATAAAACAAAATATATTTATACATAATAGATCCTATAAATATCTTTAAATAATCTTATGGATCTTTAAATCTCAACCTTTAAATGAGCTGTGTGTAGGACAAGTGATGAGTTTGCAGATTGCATCAAACTCAACTTTCAACCTTTCCAAACATGTCGGAGAACAAAGGTGTCCTTCAGGTAAAATAAAAAAGCCACTGTTTGGTTTGTCCTGTCTGGGCTCCTGTAGAAACATGGCAGTGGAACATTATATCCTTATAATTGAACATTTGATCAGATCGTCACTGGCAGACAAATAGTTTTAAAGAAATTGGTTAAAGTGTGAGTAAAAACACATTAATTGAAATGTTTTTGGGTCTCTAATAAAGAGCAAATCAATATTCTATGTAGGGTATATTTTATTTTATTCATTCCTATTTGTTTTCCAATCATTTATATTAACGTGTGCTTTTGTTTCCAGTCCCCAGACGGTGCCGTTGCTGTGTTTGTATAACATTTTATAATATTACAATTAAGTAAATTGTATATAATGTGTGTGTGTGTGTTTGAAACAAGTCCAGAATTCAAACTGCAGACATATTTGTTTATTTACTATAATTCTTATTCGAACAATCCAAGGAGAATGAATTCAAGTATAATTAATTTTTTCAGGTTTTCAGACGTTTTTTTTTTATTCCAGTAAAATATAAAGTACGAAAGTATTCAGGTGTTTACAATCAACATAATATTACACATAAATTAGATGTCTGACATTAATCAGCTCAGGTGTGGAGAGCACCAAAGATTAGTAAGATTATTAGTTTATTAAACGTTGAAAGGTCACAGGTGAATGTTTGTAAACTCAGGTGGTCACAGGTGTGTTTGAGACCATCAGCTGGGAGGACTGTTGGGCACCACCTGTAAGGTGAAGCTCATGTGACCAGTGGGGACGGCCAAGCTAGCGCTACTGTTAGTCAGCTAATCTGCTAGCATGCACCATCAGCTGACTTCTTTATTATTACCTAACAGTCAGAGTCTGACCGAGTTGTTTTGTGAGTTTACATTTTAAACTGATTTTGAGACTAATGTTACTTTATAATCCGTAGGTGTAAATAAACGTTTAATACACTGTTATCGGTAGATACAACGATATTTCTATTTGTTAGAGCTTCTCCATATTTTATATTATTACAGCTGTGTTTTACGACAACATAATCAATGATCTGTATATACAGCAGACAATACTTAGCTCTGCTTACATTACAGTCTTATAAACCAGTTATTACGTATCAGCTGTGTGTCACAGACGGGAGGACATACTGATACAGCCGTTAATACACTGTGGACATATATAATGAGAATAACTCTGAATTCAGTTATTAGAGCATTTTAAAACTGTTACAGACATCTCGTTCCCAATGTGAGTCTACGGGGAAAAAGTATTTTGCATTATGTATGGGACCCGGAAGATTGAAATACATGGTTTGGCCAATATTAAAAATTTGCTTTACATTAGCAAACGGGACACACACAAATTGCCGCCGCTTTGATCATTCTGCGATGTTGATTACAGTGATCTGTGGAACACAACAGACCGCCGTGACGGACCACTGCTTACTTTGCAAGCGCTATATTTTGGGAGGAGAATGATGCTTTTGCCCACCAGTCCTATGCACATTTGTTTATAGAACATTAGCTGTGTCTTTAAGATGTCTCCGAAGGTCACGTGACCCTCATCCTCCAGGTTTTAGGGGCCCATTGATATACTGTTTATAAAAAGTGGACGTAGTCATTGTGATATCACCCATTGGTTTGTGGTTATGAAGCTTCCAGTTCAGCGATTTCGCTGTCGCCATCTTGGAATATGGCTTTTTTTTGCAAACAATGACCGTAAGTGACCATATTTGTAATGCTGAAGAGTGACGTAAAGACGCTGTATACAGCTCTGGTAGCAGCAGCGACCTGTCAATCACAGTAAGCCCGCCCTAAAGCATACTCTGCTTTTTGGTCTGTTTGACTCTAAATGGACCATAATGTACTAAATGAACATCATGCTGTATTGAACAAGACTTGAAACTAGAGATTGAGACCATAAACTCATGTTTACAATGTTTACTGAGGTAATAAATCAAGAGAGAAGTAGAGTCATTTTCACATAGAGCTCTATACAATCAGACTTCTTATTCCATCGAGAGGAGTTGCCCCCTGCTGGTCAGTAGAGAGAATGCAAGTTTTAAGACACTTCGGCAGTGCCTTCACTCAGCAGAACGGGAGGTTGCAGGTAGGGGCCCATATAGAGGTCAGAGGTCAGGTGTCAGACGTAACAGAACTCTCTTGCTGCAGCAGCAGGTCGACTGCGGCCTCCACGTCCTCCACCACGTGATTTGGCTCCACCAGCTCGAGCTCCAGCGCCAGGTCTCTGTGAGCGTGGAACACAGTTTCCGTGACCCCGTTGCTGCGGTCACAAGGAAGCGGGGAGCGAGGGTTATAGACACCTGTGCACACCTGTGGACAGGTAGAGCAGCTCTGTGTTGGTGACAGATGTTATGACAACATGTTATTATCAGCGGGTCAGTGTGAACTCCGCAAACTATTTGATTTACTGATGATGATTTCACTGTGATGTCACTGTGTACCCAGATCTCAAATATTAACTTGGGGATTTTTAAGATACTGTTACTCGTAACTAAATAAATAAGAGGAGTTGAAAACATTCCTTGACCTACCAGTATGGAGCGACACTGAGCAGCAGCAGACACCAGCTCCTCCTCCGGCACCGCAATCGTCACTTGACTCCCTGTTCCCTGGGCAACAAGCTTGGTCGTGGTCGTCATAGCAGCATGCTGCTCACCCAGGTAGCGATTGTACAGATTAGCACCGTAGATATCGGTCATCAGGTTGTCGCTAGGCAAGAAGAAGAAGTTTTGGTTTTGGATGGTTGGGTTACTGGATGACATAGATGGTGCGATGGATGGTTTAGTTAACAACAGCGTAGATGGTGTTATGGACGGTTTAATTTCCAACAGCGTAGATGGTGTTATGGACGGTTTAATTACCAACAGCACAGATGGTGTTATGGACAGTCTAGGTAACTAACAGCGCAGATGGTGTTATGGACGGTTTAGTTACCCAAAGGCATAGATTGTTGTGAAGTGGAGCTTCTAATTGACGACCAAGACACGTCTGGTGTTGAACGGAACACTTTACTTCCTTTTGCTGCAGTATAACAACTGTTACAGTAAAGAGAGCGCGCTCTTGCACCCGACATATAGGTTTTCACTTATCATCATCATTGTTAGCATCAATAAGACACGTACCATGCTACTTCTCGCTCCTCAGAGTAAAAGCACTTCCTGTTTCATGCTCTTCACAATAAAAGTACACATGCAATCAAACAATTTACAACATAGATGGTGTTATGGACAGTCTATGTACCCAACGACATAGATGATGTTATGGACAGTCTATGTACGCAACGGCTTAGATGGTGTTATGGATGGTTTGGTTACCCAACAGCGTAGATGGTGTTATGGACAGTTTAGGTACCCAACGGCATAAATGGTGTTTTGGACGATTTAGTTACCTAATGGCATAGATGGTGTTATGGATGGTTTTGGTACCCATTGGCATGGATGGTGTTGTAGACGGTTTGGTTACCCAACATTATAGATGGTGTTATGGACGGTTTAGTTACCCAACAGCGTAGATGGTGTTATCTAGCCGATGGCATAGATGGTGTTATGGACAGTCTAGGTACCCAACGGCATAGATGGTGTTATGGATGGTTTGGCTACCCAAAGTCATAGATGGTGTTGTGGACAGTGTACTTAGTCGATGGCATTGATGGTGTTATGGAGTTATGGACTGTTTAGTAACCCAACAATATAGATGGTGGCATGGATACCCAATGGCTTAGTTGGTGTGTAGATGATGGTGTTATGGACGGTTTGTTACCCGATGGCGTAGATGGTGGTGAGCTTTTGGTTGTGGTTCTGCAGTCTCAGCAAGTGCTCGGCGTACTGGTATGTCAGCAGACTGGGTTTTCCAAGCAGGCCCTGGTACTGAAGCTCTCGACCCGTCATTTTCCTGTAGACAGACTCCAGACAAAGCAGGAACATCCCGTGACCGAACCTACGGCAACAAAGCAGGGTCAAAACTGATCGACATTACCTCCTTAAGGACTTCAGCCCTGGCCTGGAGATATGGACGCCAACAGGTTAAACTAACTTCCTGTAGTGTGTTGTTTACCGTGGTGACGGGGCCTCAGCCATCCACATCAGGTCAATGTTACAGGCAAGAACCGGCAGCTGGGTCGGCACCTGAGGATCGTACACGCAACCTGGACTCCCATTGGTCAGGAGCACGTCAATCATCAGCTGCAGGTTGGTCTCCCATCGGATTGGCTCTCCGAACAGAATAATCGCTATGGCAACACAGGAAGTCCGTAAAGAATAGTAAACAAAATTAATTGATAGATAGGGCTAAGTGTCTTTATTCTTATTTTTACTGAGTTCAAATTTAGCTGATTTTTATTTAATTATCATGAATGAGGAGCTGGAACATAATAATATGAATTAGATAAATAAATATAAAGGAAACACAAACGTAATAATGTTAAAATAAAACCATAAACAGTGTGTTGTGTATTTGCTGTGTAGTTACCTTCTATTTTCGGAAGAGTCTGCAGAGGAGACGACTGAAACAGAGAAAACACTGTTTGGATTACTGAGCTGCTGTCAGAGACCAAAAGTCACCTGTCACCTGTCACAGGTACAGTACTCACAGGTAGTTTGGGTCTCCTGTTGTGGTCCACCATGTCCAGCAGGGGGTGATGTTCTCTGAGCTGCTCGACGCTCACAACCTTCTGAAAACCCAAACTGACAATACGGTTAAGACTTCAAACACGAGAATCAATCAGACTTTATATACTCACTGTGGTTCAGAGTGTAAAACTTTAATCACAAAGACAAATCACTTGCTCAGTTGCAGTAAGTTTGGTATGTATCAATATCTTGGTTAAATGTGTAATAAAGTCTCCTTATTCTTATTTCACATGTTTCTTTTATGGACCTCTGAATGTGACTGAACACAGAAAGTCTCCAGGAAGATTTCAATTATTGACACTCTAAAAACTACAATACCCATGAGCCTCAGCTGCTGTTGCCAAGGAGAAGAAGCCCAACAGAGGTCAAATGTGAAGGATACATGTTGGCGATGTCCATCACTGGTCCCTGTCCGGACACCAGGACGCATTTATCATGAAAACTCTTCAGCATTTGCAAAGGACTGTGGGAAAGAACCACCTGCTCCGGGGCGATCTACGGAGAGAGAGAGAGAGAGAGAGAGAGAGAGAGAGAGAGAGAGAGAGAG